CAGCCACTCCAAAACTATATCCCCACCTGCTTTTAACATTTCTATCTTTATCCCATCAATCCCGGCTGCCTTACCCCCTTTCATTTTACCTACTGCCTCACATAAGAACATAAGAATGTAGGAACACTGCAGAAGGCCTACTGGCCCATACGAGGCAGGTCCTTATCAAAACGATCTCTACCTAAAGCCACCCAAGAAATAACTCCCGTACCCAAGTTGTGTAATGTCGTCTGCATAGGCTAGTGTGATGGAGTTGTGGTATACAGGTGTTGGAATGTCATTAGTGTATAAAATGTAGAGGGTAGGGGAGAGGACAGATCCCTGGGGTACTCCGGCTTTTAGTGTGAAGTAGTCAGAGTAACAGCCTTGGAATTTGATTCTCATGGTACGGCCGTCTAGGAAGTTGCAGAGGAGTTTACGAGTAGTGAGAGGCAGGTTGAAGTTAGTGCAGAGTTTGTACTTGAGCCCTTCGTGCCAGACAGTGTCAAAGGCCTTTTCAACGTCTTTTGCAACCAAGGCTGTCCTGTTTCTTTGTTTTGTGTTGATGTGGATGTAGTTGAGAATGATGTTAATGGCATCCTGTGTGGATCTGTGTGTTCTGAAGCCAAACTGGCCATCATAAAGTAGAGAATTGTGTTCCAGGTATCTGCGAAGGCGATGATTGATGAGTTTTTCAAAGAGTTTTCCTAAAGTTTCGAGGAGGCTGATAGGGCGATAGTTTCTAGGGTCAGAGTGGTCTTTATTGGGTTTAGGAAGGAGGATAGCAGTAGCAGCTTTGAAGAGGGAAGGGAAGTATCCAGAGGCAAGGGAGGCATTGAGGAGGTTTGTATAGGCAGTAATGATAGAGTCAGGAAGGTGTTTCAGGATAATATGGTTTAGGCCAGAAGCACCAGGAGCCTTGGGAGGAAGGTGTCTGAGGAGAGTTTTAATGTGAAAGGAGTGTCGAGTTCTTGGGAGGAGGTAAGAGAGTCTAGATGTATGTGGCTATCTGGTGTTGTTTCTTGTGTGTGTGCAGTGTTCCAGTGTTCTATGTTCTGAATGTGTTGAATAACGTTAGGGTGAGGTGGGTGAGCGTGGAAGATGTTCTCCCAGATGTGTTTGAAGATATTGGCAGCAGCCTGCGGGTCTGAGATGTGTGTGTTGTTGTGGGTGATGTGTTTGAATTTGTTGGTGGGAGTTGTGCCTCTGATTTTTTTTATAAAGTTCCAGAAGGCTTTAGTGTTTTTAATACGCTGCTTGTCTGCTTGTTGTATGAGTTGTAACCAGTGATTGTTGTGGTCTTGGTCTAGGCTGCGTAAAATATCGTTTCTAAGGTAAGTGAGATCTAATCGGACTTGATTAAATCTATGTGTGTTGTAGAGGAAGCGGTTGTGGTAGCAGATAATTAGTCTTCTTGTTCTGAGTGACGGTTTGAAGGAATAACGAGTGGTGTGAGTTTTCTTTGGTATTGCGATGTTGGTTGCTTGTGTAATGGTGTCCTGGATGAGATCAAGTTGAGTATCGATGTCAGAGATGGGTTTGTTGTTGTAATCATAGGTGAGGTTAATATTGTCTATGTGTTGTTTGAAAGCATCCCAGTCAGCGTTCTTGTAGGAGAAGGAAGGTGTGGTTGGAATGAGGATAGGGTTGGAGGAGATGTGTAAGATGACTGGGATGTGATCAGAGCCTGTAATAGGGTCAGGTGAAATGTAGTGTTGAAATAGAGAGCTGGCTCGGTTTGCCAGAATGATGTCTGGTTTGCCTTGGCCCGTGTGGTTGTAGAAGGTATTGAAGTCTGGGCCAAGATGAATTAGGTGTTTATGGTTTGTGAGGTTGAGTAATTGGAGACCAAGTTGGTTGTTACTTGCGTGATGAAAGGCGGTGTGTTTGGCATTCATGTCAGCTAGTAGGTATGTTGGTGTGTTGGTGTAGTTGAAGACTAAGGAAAGGTCGTGTATGTTGAGAATAGTGTTTGGGCGAGCATAGGTGGTGAAAAAGATAAAGGGACCGAGGTGGGTGTGTATTCTGACTGCAAGACAGTGTTTCATACTTCCCCCACACTCACAATTGGCTCTTCCTCACTCCTACAATATGTTATTTCTCCTTGTCCTATACATGAAATCACAGCTTCCCTATCTTCATCAACTTTTAACAATTCCTCAAAATATTCCCTCCATCTTCCCAATACCTCTAACTCTCCATTTAATAACTCTCCTCTCCTGTTTTTAACCGACAAATCCATTTGTTCTCTAGGCTTCCTTAACTTGTTAATCTCACTCCAAAACTTTTTATTTTCAACAAAATTTGTTGATAACATCTCACCCACTCTCTCATTTGCTCTCTTTTTACATTGCTTCACCACTCTCTTAACCTCTCTCTTTTTCTCCATATACTCTTCCCTCCTTACATCACTTCTACTTTGTAAAAACTTCTCATATGCTAACTTTTTCTCTCTTACTACTCTCTTTACATCATCATTCCAGCAATCGCTCCTCTTCCCTCCCGCACCCACTTTCCTGTAACCACAAACTTCTGCTGAACACTCTAACACTACATTTTTAAACCTACCCCATACCTCTTCGACCCCATTGCCTATGCTCTCATTAGCTCATCTATCCTCCAATAGCTGTTTATATCTTACCCTAACTGCCTCCTCTTTTAGTTTATAAACCTACACCTCTCTCTTCCCTGATGCTTCTATTCTCCTTGTATCCCATCTACCTTTTACTCTCAGTGTAGCTACAACTAAAAAGTGATCTGACATATCTGTGGCCCCTCTATAAATATGTACATCCTGAAGTCTACTCAACAGTCTTTTATCTACCAATACATAATCCAACAAACTACTGTCATTACGCTCTACATCATATCTTGTATACTTATTTATCCTCTTTTTCTTAAAATATGTATTACCTATAACTAAACCCTTTTCTATACAAAGTTCAATTAAAGGGCTCCCATTATCATTTACACTTGGCACCCCAAACTTACCTACCACACCCTCTCTAAATGTTTCTCCTACTTTAGCATTTAGGTCCCCTACCACAATTACTCTCTCACTTGGTTCAAATGCAGAGAATTCGTAGTATGGAAGTTAGGAGGAGGTGCGGGATTACCAAAACTGTTGTCCAGAGGGCTGAGGAAGGGTTGTTGAGGTGGTTTGGGCATGTAGAGAGAATGGAGCGAAACAGAATGACTTCAAGAGTGTGTCAGTCTGTAGTGGAAGGAAGGCGGGGTAGGGGTCGGCCTAGGAATGGTTGGAGGGAGGGGGTAAAGGAGGTTTTGTGTGCGAGGGGCTTGGACTTCCAGGAGGCATGCATGAGCGTGTTTGATAGGAGTGAATGGAGACAAATGGTTTTTAATACTTGACGTGCTGTTGGAGTGTGAGCAAAGTAACATTTATGAAGGGGTTCAGGGAAACCGGCAGGCCGGACTTGAGTCCTGGAGATGGGAAGTACAGTGCCTGCACTCTGAAGGAGGGGTGTTAATGTTGCAGTTTAAAAACTGTAGTGTAAAGCACCCTTCTGGCAAGACAGTGATGGAGTGAATGATGGTGAAAGTTTTTCTTTTTCGGGCCACCCTGCCTTGGTGGGAATCGGCCAGTGTGATAATAATAATAATATAAAATATATTGATATTTTATATATATATAATATATATATATATATATATTATATATATATATATAATATATATATATATAATATATATATATATATATATATATATATATATATATATCAAGGCTCGTGCAAGAGCACAGGAATATTGAACTTTGCAGAAGCGTTGCAGGTTAGTATACATTGTTAGTTATTAAGGGAGTTTGTAGGATTTTTTTTTTTTTTTTATTGTTGTTTTTCGTCAGATTTCTTTTCATTTCTGGTGCACAAGACGAAGTATTTACTCTATTTACTGTAAATAATTTTCAATAAGATATTATTCCACTTAATTAAGTAATAAAGGCGTAGTTAAGTGAAATAAGTCAACTTACTTCCAACATATTGGCCTGGAACGCCGGCCGCCCCCCCCCCCCCCCCCGTCTCGAAAAAAAAAAAATTCCGCGAAAATCGCGTTTGTTTCGATGTTTTCCTTACAAAACTGGTGTTCTAGCGCAGTTAGCCGCTACAAAATACAGTTTTCTCTTACTTAAGACCAAAGATTAAGACTTGGGCAGGACGGGAAGTGATTTTATATCGAATATTGCTGGTGGACACTCGCCATATTATGGCCTATTTTATTTTAATTATTAATATAACAAAGTTAGCTCAGACAAGAGTGGTAGAAAATATATTTTCTTTCTTTGTAACAAACAAATATATTAAAAAGGTCAGAATTTAAAAAAAAAAAAATTGGAGTAGATATTGATGAAAACTTAACTGAGGAAATGTAAAACAATGACTTCCTGTATATTATTAGTAATATTTTAGTAATATTTTTTAGGGGTTTGGGATATTGGCAGTTTGGAGGGATATGTTGTGTATCTTTATATGTGTATACTACTTCTAAACTGTTGTATTCTGAGCACCTCTGCAAAAACAGTGATAATGTGTGAGTGTGGTGAAAGTGTTGAATGATGATGAAAGTATTTTCTTTTTGGGGATTTTCTTTCTTTTTTGGGTCACCCTGCCTCGGTGGGAGACGGCCGACTTGTTGAAAAAAAAAATTATAGTTTTAAAAATAATGATGCTACATCTGCAAAAGTCCCAATAACTTTCGAAAAAAAAATGAAAAAGAAATTATGATTGTTGTGTCTTAAAATTATTATTGTGTTCTAATATAGTTGTCTTCTAAAATTATTAGTGTTGTAATCTAATATTATTATTGTATTCTAAAATTATGATTGTACATCCAGTAGCCTACCAGAGCAACATCTTCAGCCATTTATAAAAGAATCACCGGGTAGTATTGTGTTAAGATGGGTTATCCCAGGGTCACTATACATATGCTGCTGTGTATGATAATTCTATGTTACTGTATTTGTGTATACCTGAATAAACTTACTCACTATTCACACTGTGTAGGACAAACTGAGCAACACCCGGCGGGTGCGACGCTCCCAGCAGATGTTTGGTGACTATGACCTGGGATGTGCATGGATGGACTCTGCTGCCACACTCTACCAGGAGATCACCCGTAACCTACCTGACCTCCTCCAGGTAGGTCCTCTGTGTTGCTCTCACCTCACACTATTTTATGGTGTTGCTATACATCTATGCTGGACAAACATCTGTTGATAATTGAAATATGTTTTATAAATACACGAGTGTGCATTTAAATACAATGTTTGATGAAACACTGGTCAGGGGTGGAAGTGAACACACTTTAAGAAAATGAAGTAAACACCAAGAGGAGTACTCTATACTGAGGTCCTCTTCAGCAGACTGTCTGCTGACGACCTCATAGGACTGATAAAAGCCCTGGTGGGCAAAACATTCTTCCAGTAAACTTACATAATGTTGAGAACATCTCTCTTTTACATATCGTCAGTATTATTTATCTTACTTGTAAAAGATAATCTCAGCTGAAGCATCAATTATTATATGGTACTCCTCTTACTTATGTTTAATTTTGTGCAAGTGTGTTGTTGTCTTGTTCCATGAGTGTGTTGTCTTGTTCCATGACTGTTTTGTCTTGTTCCATGACTGTTTTGTCTTGTTCCATGACTGTTTTGTCTTGTTCCATGACTGTTTTGTCTTGTTCCATGACTGTTTTGTCTTGTTCCATGACTGTTTTGTCTTGTTCCATGAGTGTGTTTGCTTGTAGCGTGAGTGTGCTTGCTTGTGTCATGAGTGTGTTTGCTTGTACCATAAGTGTGTTTGCTTGTACCATAAGTGTGTTTACTTGTAGCATGAGTGTGTTAGCTTGTACCATGAGTGTGTTAGCTTGTACCATAAGTGTGTTTACTTGTAGCATGAGTGTGTTTGCTTGTACCATAAGTGTGTTTGCTTGTACCATAAGTGTGTTTACTTGTAGCATGAGTGTGTTTGCTTGTACCATAAGTGTGTTTGCTTGTACCATAAGTGTGTTTACTTGTAGCATGAGTGTGTTTGCTTGTACCATAAGTGTGTTTGCTTGTACCATAATGGTTTTTTACTTGTAGCATGAGTGTGTTAGCTTGTACCCTGATGTGTTAGCTTGTACCCTAAGTGTGTTTACTTGTAGCATGAGTGTGTTTGCTTGTACCATAAGTGTGTTTGCTTGTACCATGAGTGTGTTTGTATTATGAGTGTATCTGTTTATTTCTTCAGAGTGTTCTGATGTAACAAGAATGTGTGCACTTCATTGTATGTGTTACTGGTTGAGTGTATGTGTTACTGGTTGAGTGTATGTGTTACTGGTTGAGTGTATATGTTACTGGTTGAGTGTATGTGTTACTAGTTGAGTGTATGTGTTACTGGTTGAGTGTATATGTTACTGGTTGAGTGTATGTGTTTTCTGGTTGAGTGTATGTGTTATTGGTTGAGTGTATGTGTTATTGGTTGAGTGTATGTGTTACTGGTTGAGTGTATGTGTTACTGGTTGAGTGTATGTGTTACTGTTGAGTGTATGTGTTACTGGGTTTAGTGTATGTGTTTTCTGGTTGAGTGTATGTGTTACTGGTTGAGTGTATGTGTTACTGGTTGGAATGTATGTGTTACTGGTTGAGTGTATGTGTTACTGGTTGAGTGTATGTGTTACTGGTTGAGTGCATGTGTTACTGGTTGAGTGTGTGTGTTACTGGTTGAGTGCATGTGTTACTGGTTGAATGTATGTGTTACTGGTTGAGTGCATGTGTTACTGGTTGAGTGTATGTGTTACTGGTTGAGTGTAATGTGTTTACTGGTTGAGTTTATGTGTTTACTGGTTGAGTGCATGTGTTACTGGTTGAGTGTATGTGTTACTGGTTGAGTGTATGTGTTACTGGTTTGAGTGTATGTGTTACTGGTTGAGTGTAAGTGTTACTGGTTGAGTGTATGTGTTACTGGTTGAGTGTATGTGTTATTGGTTGAAATGTATGTCTTACTGGTTGAGTGTATGTGTTACTGGTTGAGTGTATGTGTTACTGGGTTTAGTGTATGTGTTATTGGCAGAGTGTATGTGTTACTGGTTGAGTGTATGTGTTACTGGTTGAGTGTATGTGTTACTGGTTGAGTGTATGTGTTACTGGTTGAGTGTATGTGTTACTGGTTGAGTGTATGTGTTACTGGTTGAGTGCATGTGTTACTGGTTGAGTGTATGTGTTACTGGTTAGTGTATGTGTTACTGGTTGAGTGTATGTGTTACTGGTTGAGTGTATGTGTTACTGGTTGAGTGTATGTGTTACTGTTGAGTGTATGTTTACTGGTTGAGTGTATTGTTACTGGTTGAGCGTTATTGTTACTGGTTGAGTGTATGTGTCACTGGTTGAGTGTATGTGTTACTGGTTGAGTGTATGTGTTACTGGGTAAGTGTATGTGTTACTGGTTGAGTGTGATGTTACTGTTCAGTGTATGTGTTACTAGTTGAGTGTATGTGTTACTGGTTGAGCGTAGTGTTACGGGCTAAGTGCATGTGTTACTGGTTGAGTGTGTGTTTACTGGTTCAGTGTATGTGTTACTAGTTGAGTGTAATGTGTTACTGGTTGAGCGTATGTGTTACTGGGTAAGTGTATGTGTTACTAGTTGAGTGTATGTGTTACTGGTTGAGTGTATGTGTTACTAGTTGAGTGTATGTGTTACTGGTTGAGTGTACGTGTTACTAGTTGAGTGTATGTGTTACTGGTTAGTGTATGTGTTACTGGTTGAGTGTATGTGTTTACTTGTTGAGTGTATGTGTTACTGGTTGAGTGTATGTGTTATTGGTTGAGTGTATGTGTTACTGGTTGAGTGTATGTGTTACTGGTTGAGTGTATGTGTTACTGGTTGAGTGTATGTGTTACTGGTTGAGTGTATGTGTTACTGGTTGAGTGTATGTGTTACTGGTTGAGTGTATGTGTTTACTGGTTGAGTGTATGTGTTACTGGTTGAATGTATGTGTTACTGGTTGAGTGTATGTGTTACTGGTTGAGTGTATGTGTTACTGGTTGAGTGCATGTGTTTTCTGGTTGAGTGTATGTGTTACTGGTTGAGTGTATGTGTTACTGGTTGAGTGCATGTGTTACTGGTTGAGTGTATGTGTTACTGGTTGAGTGTATGTGTTACTGGTTGAGTGTTTTGTGTTACTGGTTGAGTGTATGTGTTACTGGTTGAGTGTATGTGTTACTGGTTGAGTGTATGTGTTACTGGGTTTAGTTTATGTGTTACTGGTTGAGTGCATGTGTTACTGGTTTGAGTGTATGTGTTACTGGTTGAGTGTATGTGTTACTGGTTGAGTGCATGTGTTACTGGTTGAGTGTATGTGTTACTGGTTGAGTGTATGTGTTACTGGTTGAGTGTATGTGTTACTGGTTGAGTGTATGTGTTACTGGTTGAGTGTATGTGTTATTGGTTGAGTGTATGTGTTACTGGTTGAGTGTATGTGTTACTGGTTGAGTGTATGTGTTACTGGTTGAGTGTATGTGTTATTGGCAGAGTGTATGTGTTACTGGTGTAGCGTATGTGTTACTGGTTGAGTGTATGTGTTACTGGTTGAGTGTATGTGTTACTGGTTAGTGTATGTGTTACTGGTTGAGTGTATGTGTTACTGGTTGAGTGTATGTGTTACTGGTTGAGTGCATGTGTTACTGGTTGAGTGTATGTGTTACTGGTTGAGTGTATGTGTTACTGGTTGAGTGTATGTGTTACTGGTTGAGTGTATGTGTTACTGGTTGAGTGTATGTGTTACTGGTTGAGTGTATGTGTTACTGGTTGAGTGTATGTGTTACTGGTTGAGCGATGTGTTACTGGTTGAGTGTATGTGTCATGGTTGAGTGTATGTGTTACTGGTTGAGTGTATGTGTTACTGGGTAAGTGTATGTGTTACTGGTTGAGTGTGTGTTACTGGTTCAGTGTATGTGTTACTAGTTGAGTGTATGTGTTACTGGTTGAGCGTATGTGTTACTGGCTAAGTGCATGTGTTACTGGTTGAGTGTGTGTTACTGGTTCAGTGTATGTGTTACTAGTTGAGTGTATGTGTTACTGGTTGAGCGTATGTGTTACTGGGTAAGTGTATGTGTTACTAGTTGAGTGTATGTGTTACTGGTTGAGTGTATGTGTTACTAGTTGAGTGTATGTGTTACTGGTTGAGTGTACGTGTTACTAGTTGAGTGTATGTGTTACTGGTTGAGTGTATGTGTTACTGGTTGAGTGTATGTGTTACTAGTTGAGTGTATGTGTTACTGGTTGAGTGTATGTGTTACTGGTTGAGTGTATGTGTTACTGGTTGAGTGTATGTGTTACTAGTTGAGTGTATGTGTTACTAGTTGAGTGTATGTGTTACTGGTTGAGTGTATGTGTTACTGGTTCAGGGTATGTGTTATTAGTTGAGTGTATGTGTTACTAGTTGAGTGTGTGTTACTGGTTGAGTGTATGTTACTAGTTGAGTGTATGTGTTACTGGTTGACTGTATGTGTTACTGGTTGAGTGTATGTGTTACTGGTTGAGTGTATGTGTTACTTGTTGAGTGTATGTGTTACTGGTTGAGCGTATGTGTTACTGGGTAAGTGTATGTGTTACTAGTTGAGTGTATGTGTTACTAGTTGAGTGTATGTGTTACTGGTTGAGTGTATGTGTTACTAGTTGAGTGTATTTGTTACTGGTTGAATGTATGTGTTACTGGTTGAGTGTATGTGTTACTAGTTGAGTGTATGTGTTACTGGTTGAGTGTATGTGTTACTGGTTCAGGGTATGTGTTACTAGTTGAGTGTATGTGTTACTAGTTGAGTGTATGTGTTACTGGTTGAGTGTATGTGTTACGGGTTGAGTGTATGTGTTACTGGTTGAATGTATGTGTTACTGGTTGAGTGTATGTGTTACTGGTTGAGTGTATGTGTTACTGGTTGAGTGATGTGTTACTAGTTGAGTGTATGTGTTACTGGTTCAGTGTATGTGTTACTAGTTGAGTGTATGTGTTACTAGTTGAGTGTATGTGTTACTGGTTCACTGTATGTGTTATTGGTTCACTGTATGTGTTACTGGTTCACTGTATGTGTTACTGGTTCACTGTATGTTTACTGGTTCACTGTAAAGTGTTACTGGTTCACTGTATGTGTTACTGGTTCACTGTATGTGTTACTGGTTCACTGTATGTGTTACTGGTTCACTGTATGTGTTACTGGTTCACTGTTTGTGTTACTGGTTCACTGTATGTGTTACTGGTTCAGTGTATGTGTTACTGGTTCATTGTCTGTGTTACTGGTTCACTGCATGTGTTACTGGCTCAGTGTATGTGTTACTGGTTCACTGTATGTGTTACTGGTTCACTGTATGTGTTACTGGTTCACTGTATGTGTTACTGGTTCACTGTATGTGTTACTGGTTCACTGTATGTGTTACTGGTTCAGTGTATGTGTTACTGGTTCAGTGTATGTGTTACTGGTTCAGTGTATGTGTTACTGGTTCAGTGTATGTGTTACTGGTTCAGTGTATGTGTTACTGGTTCTGTGTATGTGCTACTGGTTCAGTGTATGTGTTACCGGTTCAGTGTATGTGTTACTGGTTCACTGTATGTGTTATTGGTTCACTGTATGTGTTACTAGTTGAGTGTATGTGTTACTGGCTCACTGTATGTGTTACTGGTTCACTGTATATGTTACTGGTTCACTGTATGTGTTACTGGTTCACTGTATGTGTTACTGGTTCAGTGTATGTGTTACTAGTTGAGTGTATGTGTTACTGGCTCACTGTATATGTTACTGGTTCACTGTATGTGTTACTAGTTGAGTGTATGTGTTACTGGCTCACTGTATATGTTACTGGTTAACTGTATGTGTTACTGGCTCACTGTATATGTTACTGGTTCACTGTATGTGCTGTACAATGAATGTGTTCGCTTGTACAATTGTGTTCACTTATACCACGAGTGTGTTCACTTGTACCGTATGCTCACTTGTACCATGAGTGTGTTCACTTGTACCAAGAGTGTACATGAGTGTACATGAGTGTAAATGGCTGGATGTGAGCAAGACCTGCCTAGCATGAGCTGGTAGGCTTTCTGGAACACTCCTTCATTGTTACAAACTTATGACTAAAAGGCACAGTACCGTGACTGGAACAATAGGAGAGAGGAGCTGACGACGACGTTCGATCCGACTAGGACCATTTACAAAGTCACACTAACAGAAAGAGGAAGCAGTGTATATGGGCCAGCAGGGAGAGATGGGACGAGAGAGGTAGTAGGAAAGGAAGTAGAGAGGTAGTGGTAGTAGTAGTAATAGAAGTAGTGGAGTCAGTCAAAGACCAAGTAAGAGGAGCACTGCAGGACAGCTTGGGGCAACAAAGGGTAGGAACAAAAACACAGGGGAGGGCAATAAAAAATAACCAAACACCCAAAGCAGAAAAAAAGAAAACCCAAAGAAGAGGGAGAAAGGAAAGGGGAAGAGGGAGAAGGAGAAAAAAGGAATCAGGTTAAGTCATGGGTGTTCTGAAGTTTGAAACATTTCACAATGTAATGGGTAAGGAAGGCATCTACAGAGACAAAGCCAGGATTAAGATGATCCAATTCGGACCGAAACGTCGTCGTAAGCTCCTCTCTCCGACGTGCGGGATATTTGTGTACTAACTCATATTAAGCCGAGTTTTATGTGAAATTCTGAGTGAGTGCTGTGTACCTCAGGTGAGCAAGACACACATCATCACCAGCAAAGTGAGCTCCAGCACCCAGTGTATTGCTCTTCTTCTCCTGGCTGAAGGAAAAGGTGAGTCACACTTCACGAGGTAAACCACCACGACTTAAACCTTGCTTAGGCCAGCAACCCTTATAATACTAATACTAATAATAATAATAATAATAATAATAATAATAATAATAATAATAATAATAATAAAAACAATAATCATAATAAAACAATAATAATAATAATAAAAACAATAATCATAATAATAATAAAATAATAATAATAATAATAATAATAATAATAATAATAATAATAATAATAATAAAACAATAATAATAATAATAATAATAATAATAAATAATAATAATAATAAACACAATAATCATAGTAATAAATTAATAATAATGATAACAATGATAATCTTTAATTTACAAGTACACGTACAACTTACATAGCTGACATCAGTGACACACTATAATGAAAGTCACTCGTCATGCAGAGCTTTTCGGTCAAAATATTTACAGCGAGCGGTTCGTAGGGGTCTAGAACGTACTCTTGCAGTGTTAGTTTTCTGTGTTATTCAAGGTTTTTATATTTAGCTTAATATTACACTGTTTATACTATGGGATAATTAACTATTTTCATGCTTAAAAATCTTAAAACAATATTTACATACAGTTCGTAAGGGTCTGAAAAAGGTTAATCGTATTAACATACACTCCAATGGGGAAATTAGGCTCGGGTCGCGAAGCACCTGGTCCATCAGCAGTGTGTTAAAGGAGTTGAAGCACCTGGTCCATCATCAGAGTATTGAAGGAGCTGAAGCACCTGGTCCATCACCAGAGTTTTGAAGGAGCTGAAGCACCTGGTCCATCACCAGAGTTTTGAAGGAGCTGAAGCACCTGGTCCATCACCAGGGTGTTGAAGGTGCTGAAGCACCTGGTTCAACACCAGGGTGTTGAGCTGAAGCACCTGGTTAATCAGCAGGTTGAAGTAGATGAAGTACCTGGTCCATCACCAGGGTGTTAAAGGTGCTGAAGCATCTGGTCCATCATCAGAGTATTGAAGGAGCTGAAGCACCTGGTCCATCACCAGAGTTTTGATGGAGCTGAAGCACCTGGTCCATCATCAGAGTATTGAAGTAGCTGAAGCACCTGGTCCATCATCAGAGTATTGAAGGAGCTGAAGCACCTGGTCCATCACCAGAGTTTTGAAGGAGCTGAAGCACCTGGTCCATCACCAGAGTTTTGAAGGAGCTGAAGCACCTGGTCCATCACCAGAGTTTTGAAGGAGCTGAAGCACCTGGTCCATCACCAGAGTTTTGAAGGAGCTGAAGCACCTGGTACATCATCAGAGTATTGAAGGAGCTGAAGCACCTGGTCCATCACCAGAGTTTTGAAGGAGCTGAAGCACCTGGTCCATTACCAGAGTTTTGAAGGAGCTGAAGCACCTGGTCCATCACCAGAGTTTTGAAGGAGCTGAAGCACCTGGTCCATCATCAGAGTATTGAAGGAGCTGAAGCACCTGGTCCATCATCAGAGTATTGAAGGAGCTGAAGCACCTGGTCCATCACCAGAGTTTTGAAGGAGCTGAAGCGCCTGGTCCATTACCAGAGTTTTGAAGGAGCTGAAGCACCTGGTCCATTACCAGAGTTTTGAAGGAGCTGAAGCACCTGGTCCATCACCAGGATGTTGAAGGAACTGAAGCACCTGGTCCATCACCAGGATGTTAAAGGAACTGAAGCACCTGGTCCATCAACGGGGTGTTGAAGGAGGTGAAGCACCTGGTTTATCACCAGGGTGTTGAGTTGAAGCACCTGGTGCATCACCAGGGTGTTGAAGGAGCTGAATTAGCTGGTCCATCACCAGGGTGTTGAAGAAACTGAAGCATCTGGTCCATCAGGGTGTTGAAAGAGCTGAAACACCTGTCCATCACCAGGGTGTTGAAGGAATTGAAGCACCTGGTCCATCACCAGGGTGTTGGAGGTGAAGAACCTGGTCCATCACCAGAGTATTGAAGGAACTGAAGCACCTGGTTCATCACTAAGGTGTTCAAGGAGCCGGGGTCCATGTCACAACTGAACTGACCTCCCGACAACTTCACGGCCGTTGGCATCTACGGTTGTCGAAGTTGGTCCACAATAAATTGCTTTCTGTTAAACCACGTATGGTCTCTGGCCATCTTACCACTGTTGATGTGTTCAGAAAACTGTACTCTCCCACCTACATATCGGCCATACACTTCTCGCGGAGATCTCATGAGAAAAATGTCTCGCACTGCTATGCAAGAATTGTTATATTGCATTATCAGTTCACCATATCTTAAGTGATTATTCAGTGTATCAGTGGGCACCTAGAATTAACTTTCGACGTTTCCACTGCCTAAACACACAATAACTGACCTCACAGAAAGTCCCATCTTGGGTGTAGATTTTGACTTTTTAGCAGAAACTGTCTTATTATATCAACTTAGATTTTATTTTACTTTTTGGATTCTCTACCCTCACTAACCCTTACCTATGCACAATCTTCCCTCTCCCTCCTTCCCTACTCACTTCCATTTATATATCCGTTAATACATTCCTCCCTGCAAAACTGTATGAACCTTCCGGTTTAGCGCTTAGTTTTATTATTATTATTATCCTGCAGAAACTAAATTATAATGGTGTTTCTATCTAGTGACGTCTTGGTGGCAGTAGAGACAATTGTGACTATGCTAAGTTTCCTGTAACAGAAGACTTGGAGATTATTTTTGAAATGAGTTGTTGAGAGTCTTCAGCTTCCTCTTCTGTGGTATCTGATCTGACTGTGGTATCTGATCTGACGGTGGTATCTGAGGTGACGGTGGTATCTGATCTGACGGTGGTATCTGATCTGACGGTGGTATCTGATCTGACGGTGGTATCTGATCTGACGGTAGTATCTGAGCTGACGGTGGTATCTGATCTGACGGTGGTATCTGATCTGACGGTGGTATCTGAGGTGACGGTGGTATCTGATCTGACGGTAGTATCTGAGCTGACGGTGGTATCTGATCTGACTGTGGTATCTGATCTGACGGTGGTATCTGAGGTGACGGTGGTATCTGATCTGACGGTGGTATCTGATCTGACGGTGGTATCTGAGGTGACGGTGGTATCTGATCTGACTGTGGTATCTGATCTGACGGTGGTATCTGAGGTGACGGTGGTATCTGATCTGACGGTGGTATCTGATCTGACGGTGGTATCTGATCTGACGGTGGTATCTGATCTGACGGTAGTATCTGAGCTGACGGTGGTATCTGATCTGACGGTGGTATCTGATCTGACGGTGGTATCTGAGGTGACGGTGGTATCTGATCTGACGGTGGTATCTGATCTGACGGTGGTATCTGATCTGACGGTGGTATCTGATCTGACGGTAGTATCTGAGCTGACGGTGGTATCTGATCTGACTGTGGTATCTGATCTGACGGTGGTATCTGAGGTGATGGTGGTATCTGATCTGACGGTGGTATCTGATCTGACGGTGGTATCTGAGGTGACGGTGGTATCTGATCTGACTGTGGTATCTGATCTGACGGTGGTATCTGAGGTGACGGTGGTATCTGATCTGACGGTGGTATCTGATCTGACGGTGGTATCTGATCTGACGGTGGTATCTGATCTGACGGTGGTATCTGATCTGACGGTGGTATCTGATCTGACTGTGGTATCTGATCTGACGGTGGTATCTGATCTGACGGTGGTATCTGATCTGACGGTGGTATCTGATCTGACGGTGGTATCTGATCTGACGGTAGTATCTGAGCTGACGGTGGTATCTGAGCTGACGGTGGTATCTGAGTTGACGGTGGTATCTGATCTGACGGTGGTATCTGAGCTGACGGTGGTATCTGAGCTGACGGTGGTATCTGAGCTGACGGTGGTATCTGAGCTGACGGTGGTATCTGAGCTGACGGTGGTATCTGAGCTGACGGTGGTATCTGAGCTGACGGTGGTATCTGAGCTGACGGTGGTATCTGATCTGACAGTGGTATCTGAGCTGACGGTGGTATCTGAGCTGACGGTGGTATCTGAGCTGACGGTGGTATCTGAGCTGACGGTGGTATCTGAGCTGACGGTGGTATCTGAGCTGACGGTGGTATCTGAGCTGACGGTGGTATCTGAGCTGACGGTGGTATCTGAGCTGACGGTGGTATCTGAGCTGACGGTGGTATCTGAGCTGACGGTGGTATGGTTACTCCGTATGTGTGAAGACTTACTCACCCCTGTAAGAATATGTTAGTATTACCAAGGCTGGCTCCTCCTTAGGAAAATATATAATAGAGAAAATAACAATGACATACAAATATAAACACTTTGTAAAAATTAAAAATGTAAAACACGTAAACATGAGCTTTTATCCTATTTGAAAGAAAAATGAAATAAAAAAAATGATAATTGAATTCAGTGCTAATTTGTACAAGTGGAATTGTAGATCATGTCGATGTTGTTGGCACAGCGCATTATAGAAACTGTAGCCGTTGCTGATGATGTAGGGGGGTCACAGCTGGTGAGTGACAACCCAACGACTATTCAGTCACAGTATGTCTAGCCTTGAATGATACGACAAGATGATAGGAATGCAGGTCTTTCACCACTGCAGGGATGAGGGGTAGCTGCCTGGGTGTAGCTACAATGAAGGTAAGTAGATCGTGGGTGACGTCTCATAACTTGGTTTGGTCCTCTCCTTCAAACTTTCTCTGTAGTCGCCAGATGACCCTAGCTGGCAGTCCATGCTAGGAAGAGACAAAAGTTAACCACTGCTTGATAAATCACTCTCCATGATAAGTGTAAAGCATTTAAAAGAATGATGAGGATTTAAAGGCAAGATTTTTAAACATGAAAGTCAAGGCAGGATGAACTAAGTCTCAAAATTAGGTGAAAGTGAAGGTTTTAACCAATATGTCCATGAAAACAGGATTATCCATTTGGTCGGAGTCCTACACGTCACCTTTCAGTGTGGAGAAAGGGGATGGGGGATAGCGGGAGCAAGACACTGACCCTGCCTTAACAAGCACACTACCAATCAAACTTTCGTCACCATATATTCGCTCGC